TCGTGGCCGCGGGGTCGCTGTTTTGGGGCCACAGGAGCTGTGGTCCTGCTGGGATTTCCATCCCGGGGGATTTGGCTTCTCCCCGTGCAAACCGGCCGGGCTCGGGCACAGGATGCTGTCCCTGCCATGCAGGGGTGGCTCAAGGTGCCCCTTGGCCCTGGCACAAATTGGGATTTTCCTCCCCTGTGCTCCTTTCCCTCCTGGAAGAGCTCCCGGACCCCTCTCTGGCAGGATTTGTTCTGTTCCGTGGGATTTGGGAATTTGGGATGGGTTATCTCCTTCCCACTGTGGGGTCTGGCTGTGCTGAGGGGCTCCAGGGGCCCTGTGCCTGCTCATTCCCAAAGGTGATGCCCTTTGGTGTCTGGGATGTGCATATGGACAGGGCAGTGTCCCCAAATCCCTGCCTTGCCCTGGTGCCTCCTCCTTTGAGCTGGTTTGGCTCTGCCAAACCCAAAATGAGGGAAAATTTCAAATCGAGCTGGGTGGGACTTGGAACAGCCTGGGAGAGTGGAAGGTGTGGAAGGTGAGGAAGGTGAGGAAGGTGAGGAAGGTGTGGAAGGTGAGAAAGGTGTGGAAGTTGTGGAAGGTGTGGAAGGTGAGGAAGGTGAGGAAGTTGTGGAAGGTGTGAAGGTGTGGAGGGTGTGGCAGGGGTGCCACTGGATGGGCTTTAAGGTCCCTTACAACCCAAACCAGTCTGGGACTCCGTGATTCCGTGGAATGGTGGGAATTTGGCCACAGCAAGAGCTGCTCGGATGGGTGGAAGCTCCCCAGGCTTCCTCCTCCAACCACGACTTGGCGTGGCCACCACCCCTGGCGTCGCTCCCGGCACCACGGGGTGCCCTGGCCCATCCATCCCCATCCCACCAGCTCGGCAGGGGAGGCTTTTCCTCATTATTTCCACCGTGTTGAGGGTGGGTTTGTTGCTCTCCAGCTGTTTGGAGAGACGTAAACCAAACCCGCCGTAATTCAGCCCGAACGTAAATGTCACGGCAGCGTGGGAACGAGGGCTTGGCGCGCTCAGCCTGGGGCTCTGGGAGTGCTGGAGCTCCTCCTGCCCCACACCATCCCTCCATCCCACCATCCCAGCATCCCAGCATCCCAGCATCCCACCTTCTCACCATCCCAGCATCCCAGCATCCCAGCATCCCACCATCCCACCATCCCAGCATCCCACCATCCCACCTTCTCACCATCCCAGCATCCCAGCATCCCAGCATCCCACCATCCCTCCATCCCACCATCCCAGCATCCCAGCATCCCAGCATCCCAGCATCCCACCATCCCACCATCCCACCATCCCACCATCCCTCCATCCCAGCATCCCAGCATCCCAGCATCCCAGCATCCCAGCATCCCAGCATCCCAGCATCCCACCATCCCGGCATCCCAGCATCCCACCTCCCTCTCCTCCATCCCACCTCCCTCTCCTCCATCCCATCTCCTTCTCCTCTGTCCCATCTCCCTCTCCACCCTTCCATTTTCCTCTACACCATCCCACTTCACTCTTCTCCATCCCGTTTCCCTCTCCTCCATCCCATTTTCCTCTCCCCATCCCGTTTCCCTCTCCTCCACCCCATTTTCCTCGACACCATCCCATCTCCTTCTCCACCCTCCCATCTCCCTCTCTTCCATCCCATTTTCCTCTCCCTTGTCCCATTATCCTCACCCCATCCCACCTCCTTCTCCACCATCTCCCCTTCCTCTCCACCATCTCATTTTCCTCTCCTCCATCCCATTTCCCTCTCCACCCTCCCATCTCCCTCTCCACCATCTCATTTCCCTCTCCTCCATCCCATCTCCTTCTCCACCATCCCATTTCCCTCTCCCCCACCCCATTTCCCTCTCCCCCCAGTGGGTCCATGCCCAGCCCCATTTCCCTCGCTGGGGTCACACTTCCCCCAGACCTTCCCCAGAGGATCAGGGCTGCATCCCAGGGCTGAGGCTGTGCCTGGTTTGTGGTTGGCCCTTTGGGGGGCCTGGGGGGAGCTGCTGGGCTGGATTTCACCGAGGCAAAGCAGAACCATGTGTCCCACACTGCGCTCTGCCTCTGCTTAGGGGGACTGGGAAGAGCTGCAGGGGGAGGAGGAGGAGCAGGGATGAGCTGAGAGCAGAGCTGGAGATGGGACAGGGACATTTTCCCCTCCTTTGTGCACCACTTTCTGTCAAAAGAGCAGGAAAATCCAACAGGTCCAGCTCAAAGCAGGGTTTGGGGCTTTTTTTTCCCTTTCAATGCTCCTTGTTTTGGGGCCAGTTTTGGCATTTTGAGACCAGTTTGATCCAGGGGCACTGCAGGCTCCAGTCCTCACAACTCAATCCCTAAGAAAGTATTTTGGGAGCTTGTGGTAAATTTTGGGGGAGGTCTGATGCAATTTTGGAATGGTCTGAAGAAGCTTTGGGGAAAATCTGAAGGAATTTTGGGGACAGTGCGAGGAAGTTTTGGGGGAAAATCTGAAGGAGTTTATGGACAGCATGAGGAAGTTTTGGGGTAAAATCTGAAGAAGTTTTGGGGAAAATCTGGAGGAGTTTTGAGGACAATCTGAGGAAGTTTTGGGGTAAAATCTGAAGAAGTTTTGGGGAAAATCTGGAGGAGTTTTGAGGGCGATCTGAGGAAGTTTTGGGGTAAAATCTGAAGGGGTTTTGGGGACAATCTGAAGAAGTTTTTGGGGAAAATCTGAGGCAGTTTTGGGGAAGATCTGAGGCAGTCTTGGGAACAGTCTGTCTCTCCACCAGCCTCATCCTCTCCAGGACAGCCCAGCCCCATCCTGTGAGCAGGACCAGGCGTTGAGCTGGAGCTGCTGCTGGAGGAGCAGCCTCTGGAGCGGCTGCCCATGGAAATTGTTTAATTCCTGCAGGATGAGTCATGAGGAGCCGGGATTTCAAAGCAGCTTGGCTCCCATGTAAGGCACTCAAATAAACAGTGTGTGGCAGGTGGAAGCTCTCTCTGATGTCCCATCAAGGCCTCTGTCTTTCCAAGTGCTTTGTGCTGCCAAAAATCCTTCGGCCACACCGTGGCTCCATCCATTCTTGAGGCTGGGCTCTGGAAAATAATGAATCAATGCCCGGAAACATGAATCGACGGAAAATTTATGGCACACTTAGAATATAATGTCTTTTGGGTCCTCTGCTTTGAAGCATCAGCACTGAAAGTTTTGGCATCTCCTTCTTTCAACCCTTCAGCAAGGAGGATTTGGGGGGAAAAAAAAAATAAATTCACTTTTCTCCCTCTGTGAGCTTTAAGGAGTCTGTGGACATCGGGAACAAATCCCAAGAGTCTGCTGGAAAAACTGGGAATGGGGTTGAAAAACGAGAGGGATGGGAAAAAGCGAGAGTGTGAAAAGTGAGGGACACCAGAGAACCCCAAACACTCCACTTTTTGTGGGCAAAAAACGTCTGCTGGATTTTTGATTTATCCGGAAAAACAAGTGGAAACACCATCATCCCTGGAAGTGTCCAAGGCCAGGTTGGACGGGGCTGGTCTGGGGCTTTTTAGAGCAAAAGAAACCAACAGCAAAGCCTGGAATAACTTTGTTGTTATTGTTTTGCACTTTGGAGCTGGGATTTGAGTCTCTCGAAAGGTCACAGGCGAGTGGGTGGGGGCCAGGGCTGCTGGCTGCCGGAATGGGAGGCTGTTTTATGGGACGTGCAGCGAGCCTGGAACCGCTCTCCTAAAATTTTATGGGCCTGCAAGGAGCCAGAGGCCCTTCCTCAGGTGGGGGGATCGAGTGTCACAGCCCTGCCCTGGCCCAGCCTTTTCCTCCCCCGAGCAGGACAAAGGGGGCTGAGCCCCCTGGGTGATGGAGGTTGTGTGATCCCACTGCTCATGGAATTCACCTCCCAAAACACCAAACTTCAGCTGTTAAAAGCTGTTCGTCCTCCTGGAGAGCAGAACAAAGTGTCCTTTCCCCCCCCACACCAAATAATACCCCCGTGGAAAATTTATTTTAAAAGGAAAAATATTTGGAGTTTGCAAGGAGCTGAAATAAATACAGGAGCCAGGAGGTGGAAGGACAGGGACATCAAACCCACCAGAGCCAGGGGCTCCTCCTGCTGCCCTCTGCTTCCCAAGGGAACGTTCCAGGGAGGAGCGACACAGGCTGGGGTGGCAGGAGTGTCCCTGTCCTGTCAGGAAACCTGGGTGGAGTGAGGGGCAGTGGGAGCAGCTGTGTTTGTGGGAAGGGCTGGGACGGGGCCACCAGCTCGTCCCCACTGGTGTCACCTCATCCCCAGTGGTGCCACCTTGTCCCCACTGGTGTCACCTTGTCTGTGTTTGTGGGAAGGGCTGGCACGGGGCCACCAGCTCATCCCCACTGGTGTCACCTCATCCCCAGTGGTGCCACCTTGTCCCTATTGCTGCCACCTTGTTCCTATTGATGCCACTTCGTCCCCACTGGTGTCACCTCATTCTCGTTGGTGTTCCCTTATCCTCATTGCTGCTACCTCATCCTTATTGCTGCCACCTTGTCCCCACTGGCGTCACCTCATCCTGTGGCACCTCATGGGTGCCACCTTGTCCCCATTGCTGTCACCTCATCCCCACTGGTGTCACCTCATCCTCACTGGTGTCCCCTTATCAATATTGGTGCCACCTCATTCCCACTGGTGTCACCTCATTCCCATTGGTGCCACCTCATCCCCATTGGTGCCACCTTGTCCCTATTGATACCACTTCATCCCCACTGGTGCCACCTCATTCCCATTGGTGTCACCTCATCCACATTGGTGCCACCTCGTCCCCATTGCCACCAGAAGCCCCAAGGCACCTTTTCCATGGCCATTCTCCCAGCCCAGCCCAGCACACCCCTGGGCTGCCCCTCGTGCCTCAGTTTCCCCATCTCAGCACTGTGCTGGTGTTGGGAAGGGAGCAGCTGGAGCCAAGGGGATCCCAGGGGAAGGATCCCCCATCCCAAACCTCAGGGAGGGAGGGAGGCAGGGAGGTGAGGGGCTCTGGGGGCCGGGGGCACACATTAAGGATGTTTGTTTTGCCTGTTTTGCAGAGTTTCAATGTTCTGACTTGCTCTAAGATGAAGGTATGGAAGTTTGCAGCCATTGCATCGATGCTCCTCAGTTCCATGTTATCCATTTTAGTTTGTAGAGACATGTTCAGCGGAAGCCGGGAACTCAGCCCCTTGCCTTCCTCGCCGTCTTCCTCACGGGATTCCTCCTCCTCCTCTTCTTCTTCCTCCTCCTCCTCCTCCTCCTCGCTGCGGAGATCCCCGCGGGCGCTGCAACGCCACGGCTCTCTGCTGGCCCAGTGTAAGCTCCTGCTCCTCCACCCCGGGGTCACTGTCCCCCCCAGCCCCACAGATCCCCCAAATCCCTCTGGGGTCACTCCCTGCCCTCTCCTGCTTCCCAACATCCCCTTTAGGAGGGTTTGGGGTGAGCAGGAGGCACTGGGCACCAAACTTTGGTGTGAGCACAGCAGAGCTCTCCACAGAGGGGAACTCAGCTCAGTTCCTGCAAAGAAGCTGCTTTTATTCCCTTCCAAATGGCCTTTTTTTTTTGGTAATTTTTTTTTGTTGTTCCATGCTATTTTTTACAAATGGAAAATGTCAAACAGGAGCTGAAGATGAGGGCACGGCAGCAGCTCCCCCGGCTCACCCCTCAGTACTCCCTGAGGGCTGGAAATCCCCACGTGTTTGTTTTGATTCCAAACCAGAGGAACTGCTTTTTTTGGGTGGAAATTTGGAAATCGATGACAAGCTGTCAGATCACTCTTTCCTCTGTCTTTCCTGTGCCTCCTGCAGAGCCGAGCTGGAATAACCCTGGATTTAGGACTGGGACAGAGGGATGGGGGTGTTGCCAGCAGTGGCTGGGCACAGTTTGTATGTTGGCTGCTGGCCCTGGGGTCTCAGGGGCTCTTGGGGCTCTCAGAGCACAGTGAAACAGCGCCAAGAGGAAATTTACTGGGGCTTCTCCCCAAATCCACCGGCCCCAAGGGACTCCCATCCTAGGGGACGTTCACCCACCTCAGGGAATTTCCATCCTGGGGATCATCCATCCACCTTAAGGCACCTCCATCCTGGAGGATCCTGAGATCCTCAGCCATGGAGGATCTCCCATCTCAGGTGACCTCCATCCAGGTGGATGTAAACCCACCATGGGAATCTCCATCCTGGGAGTCACACACCCCAAGGAACCTTCTTCCTGGAGGATGTTTACCAACCCCAGGGAGTCTCCATCCTGGGGGATGTCCACCCACCCCAGGGAATCTCCATCCTGAGGGAGTCTCCATCCTGAGGGAGTCTCCACCCACCCCAGGGAACCTCCATCCTGAGGTTTTCCACCCACCCTAAGGCCCTTCCATCCCGGAGGATGCCCAGACCCTCACCCATGGAGGATCTCCCACCTCAGGCCTTCTCCACCCACCCCAGCACCCCTCACCCTCCACGGGGCCACCCTCTAACCGCGTCCCCTCCTCCTGCAGACAGCGCCTTGCTGGAGAGCTACACGGAGGGCGAGATGCGCCAGCTGCTCTCGGCGCTGGTGGAGCGCTACCGCCAGGCCGTGAACTCGGGCGGGCACGAGCTGCCGCTGTTCCCCCGCGCCGGCGGCCGCCGCAAGCGCGCCCGCGCCCGCCACAAACCCTGCGAGCTGCGCGAGCTCGAGGTCAGCGTCAGCGAGCTGGGCCTGGGCTACGAGTCGGACGAGACCGTCCTGTTCCGCTACTGCAGCGGCACCTGCGAGGCCGCCGTGCGCAGCTACGACCTCTCCCTCAAGAGCATGAGGAGCCGCAGAAAGATCCGGAAGGAGAAGATCCGCGCGCGGCCGTGCTGCAGGCCGCTGGCCTACGACGACGACGTCTCCTTCCTGGACGCCTACAACCGCTACTACACCGTCAACGAGCTGTCGGCCAAGGAGTGCGGCTGCGTGTGACACGGGGGACACCCGGGCGCAGGGCCGGGATGGAGGCCGGGGCGGCCGGAGGAGGAGAGACTGAGCCGCTGGCGTGTCCCTCGGCGTCACCGTCACTGGACTAGAGACGTGGCCGCCGCCGTGGCGGGGCGGTTGGAGAGGTGGTGGTGGTGGTGGCTCAAGTCTGTTGTCCCCTCTGCGGGTGGCCCAGAGGTCCCTGCTGAGGTGGCAGTGGGTGTGCAACGTGCCCTCGGCGTGCACGGGCTGCACTGCGTGTCACACGTGTCACACGTGTCACACACATCACACGTGTCACAGGCAACGTTACCTGCATGGGGGTGGTGCAGTGCAGGCGTCTCTGGCGTGGGGGACACACACACACACACACACAACACACACGCGTGCCGGGGGTTCTGTGTCAGGGTGTGGCACAGGGGTGTGGCACAGGGGTGTGGCACAGGGGTGTGGCACGTGCAGGGGGAGTTGTGAGCAGTGTCGGAGCTGTGTGGTACTGGACAGGGTGTGCTGCACACTCCAGGTGTGTTTTGGGGCCTGCTGCACACTCAAGGTGTGTTTTGGGGCCTGCTGCACACTCAAGGTGTATTTTGGGGTGTGCTGCACACTCCAGGTGTGTTTTCGGGCCTGCTGCCCACTCCGGGTGTGTTTTGGGGCCTGCTGCACACTCTGGGTGTGTTTTGGGGTGTGCTGCACACTCCGGGTGTGTTTTGGGCCCTGCTGCACACTCCGGGTGTGTTTTGGGGCCTGCTGCACACTCCAGGTGTGTTTTGGGGCCTGCTGCACACTCCAGGTGTGTTTTGGGCCCTGCTGCACACTCCAGGTGTGTTTTGGGCTGTGCTGCACACTCCGGGTGTGTTTTAGGGTGCATTACAGGTTTGGGGTGCACCATGTTCCCTGTGCTGCCCCAGGGTGGGAGCTGAGTCTTTCTTTCTGTAGCTCTGGGGTTTTGTGACCACCCTGAGCTGCTGGGGGAGCCCCAGCTGCCCCAGATCCCGGTGTTTGGGGACACAGAAACGCTGAGAGTGATTTGTGTGTGGCTCTGACTCCCTCTGGCTTGTGCCCCTTCTGCCGTCGTCTCGTTCCTGCAGCCCTGGGGCTTTTCTTCTTAAAACTCGGGATAATCTGAAGTAACTGGATTAACCTCCTGTGCCCCTGCCACAGGCAGCTGGGCCAGAGCGCGGCCACCGCCAGGGAGGTGACAGAACCTCCCCAGGGCCACCAGCAGAGTGGCGTGGGCAGGAGCACCCCTGGTTTGGCGTCTCCCAAAATCCCCTCAGCTCTCCTGGGAGCATCCCCCATGCTCTGCCTGGGGCTGGGATCCTGGAGGAGAGGGGACTCAGGCCTGGCTTTGGCTCTGCTCACATTTACAGCAGTGTCACTGCTGTTTACTCTGCGGGGAAATAAATGAGCCCGCAGACTCTCACATTCCCTGGGCAGGCTCGAGTTGTTGCCTGGGATTGATGGGTTTTCTCCCCTTGGCTCCCTTCCCAGAAAAGGCAAATCATAAACAGAAGGAGAATATTGGTGTCATGTCCTGGGCATTAACCAACGTGAGGGAAAACACTCCGGGTGCCACCCCCCCCCGTCCTGGCTCCTCTCTCCGGACAAACGGGGGGGAAAAATCCCTTGTGCCTTCATCCCGAGGAGGAGGAGGGCTGCTGGTGGTGATCCCAGCTCAGGGATGGTGCTGCAGCATTTGGGGAAGCAGGATGGCATCCCTTGGCATGGCATGGGGAGCAGCACCTTGTGTTGGAGCAGCCACATTCCCGACCTCCACACAGGCCCAGGCTTTGTGGGGATTTTTGGGGTTTTTTTCTTTCCTTTTTATCCAAACGCAGCTCTTGGCTGAGCGGAGCCAGGGTGTAGTGGAGGAGTATAAACACCATCCTTCAGCAGGGCTGGCAGCCCAGGAAGGCAGCCTGGAGTCTGTAACACGGAGTTTTCCCTGGATTTCGGGAAAGGCAGGAGGCAGCCGTGGGTGTGGGGTGTGAAACCTGCACCCAGGAAATGGGAACTGAGAGTGGAGAAACTCCACGCTCCAGGTGCAGCTCCTGAATCAAGGTGTGAGTTTGCAGGCCTGCATTTTGGCTGGAAATGGGAAAAGTGGCCCAAAAGGATCAGCTGGAGGATAGGAATGGCAGATGGGCAGCAGGAGCTGTGGATAAGCGGCTCACTCGAGTTTAAGGAAAAAAGAAAGCACCCAAATCTAATAATGATCATGGTAATAATAATAATAATAACTGTCCTCTCAAGGGCTTGGGTGCTTTCCAGCTCTCGCTGCTATAAAGCTAAAATTAGTTTTGTTGCAGTAAGGAAAAAGGAATGGAAGCAGAGCAGGGAAGGCAGGGAAGGTGGTGTGGAAGCAGCGCAGGACCTGGTGCTGCAGAGGAGGATTTGGAGCTTGAGCTGCCTCTGCTCAGTGTTTGCAGCCTGGTCTGGGACAGTTTTGGCAGAATCCAGGGATTTAGGGTGCCTTGATGGTGGGCACCAGGCCCAAGGGACCCTCCTGTTGCCAGGGTGGTGCTGGGAGCCGCAGGAAGACGAGGGGACAAGGGACATCCCCCAGCTGCCAAGATCCCCCATTCCCAGTACAAATCCAGCTTGGAGCCCCCAGAACCAGGAGGAAAACCTGACTCAATGCAGTGGTGTGTTAAACCCAGCAGGAATAGCTCCAATCCATCACTTTTTGTATTTTTTTGTTGTTTTTAATTTCCCCCTGCTGGCAGTGCAGCTCCAGCCCATGCGGAGGGGATGTTCCCCATCTGCCTCCCACTGCTCCTGCTGGGGTTTTTTTTTTTTGGGAACAGCTGGGATTTGCAGCCACAAAACTCCCCAGTGGAGCGAGCTGGGGCATCGTGGTGTGGCCAAAAGGATGGATTCTGCTTCCATGTCTTCGTCAGGGCTCCTCCTCCTCCTCCTCCTCGTGGAGCTCCTCCAGCTGTCCTGGTGCCATCCCGCTGCCAGCTGGCCCTGGAAATGTGGTTCCAATAGAGAGGCTGAGGTTCCCCTAATGCTTTCCATTTCTCCAGCCCCCTCTGCTGTAATAGGAGCTGGAGCTGCCCGGAAGAATGTCTACAATGCAAAAAAAAAAAAAGAAAAAAAAGTGGAAAATTCCCTCCTCAAAGCCACAGCAGAATCTCATCTGGCTCCTTCCTCAGCATCCCATGTGCTGGTTAATATTAATATTAATAATAATAATAATAACCAGTGTGCAGCAGCTGTTGGGGGGATTTTGGGGTTGGGTTTTTGTCTGTCTGGGGCTGCAGCTCCTCCCGGGAGAGGAAGGTTTGAAGAGCAGGAGGTTTGGAGATGTTTAAATCGATCCTGGTGCTTGTGACAGTGCAAAATCCCAGGGTTGTGCTCTCCCAGCCCTGCCACAGTGAGTTCTGGGATTTCCAGTGGGTTTTCCATCAGGACACGCTGATCTCGGGATCAGATCCACACATCCCACAAATCCCTTGGGATCCCGTTTGCTCCCAGGGTCCAATTTGGGATCCACGGGGGGGAAATTGGGGGAAATTGGGGGAAATTTCATCGTCGTCTCCACTCAATGGAAGCATTGGCAGAGGGAATGTTCTGGGTTTAAACAGCTCCAGGATCCTGCTGGGATAAAGGATTTTCCCAAGTTATCAAGAGAAATGATGTTTTGGTGGGATTCAGAGCCTCAGATGGTAAATTGGGAACGGGGCTGCCACGTGTTTTCCTTCTGGGCTAAACAAAGCGTGGCCTCAAAGGGGAGGCCCGAGAGAAAGGGGGAGTAAAGGGGAAAAGGAAATAAAAGGAAAAGGAGGAAAAAGGGGGGAGAAAAAAGAAAAGAAAGGGGAAAAGGAAAAAAGAGAGAAAGGAAAAAGGGGGGGAGGAGAAAAAAGAAAAAGAGGGAAAAAAGATAAAGGAGAAAAAAAGGGAAAAGGACAAAAAAGGGGGAAAAGGAATAACGGGAAAAAGGGAAAAGAGCAATTAAAATGGAAAGGTGGAAATGTGGGAGAGAAGATAAGGTAAAAAGGGAAAGAGGTAAAAAGAGAAAAAGTGCAAAAAAGAAAAAAATATAGGAAAAAAGGGGGAAGGGCAAAAAGGAAATGAAAAGAAGGGGAAAGAGGCTGAAGAGAAAGGGGGAAAAGGAAAAAGGGGAAAAAAGGAAAAAGGAGAAAAAAGGAAAAAGGGGAAAAAGAAAATAAAAGAAGGGGGAAAGGAGAAAAAAGGGAAAAATAAAAAAGGGGGAAAAATAAAAAAAAAAAAAGGGAAAAGAAAAAAAGGAGAAAAAGGAAAAAAGGGGGAAAAGGCCAAAAAAACAAATGGTAGAAAAGGGGGAAGGGGGAAAAGGGATTCCTGTTCCAGCACCACCGGCACCATCCGGATTTTGCTGTTCCCCTCCGGAACGGCCGGGCCCGTGCCCGGCTGCAGAAGTGGATGCAATGCATCTGTATTTTGGATACTGCTATTTATTGGAAGTAACTTATGTTATTTATTTAGATCCCAAAGCGCCGCCTCCCAAACGCCTCCCACGCTCGCTCCCTTTTTTATGTTATTTATTGACCCCGACGGTGCCAAGTGCAGTTTACATTTATTACATTTGTACCATTTATCCTGAACCTGGAGGGGTGGGGGAAAATAAAATAAGGTAAAATAAAATGAAATAAAAAGCTGTTTGATATTATTTTTTTTAAACAAACCTGAACTCGGGTGTGATCTGTTCCATCCTCGTGGCAAAGTGGGAATAAAGTGAAGGATTTTTATGGATTTCTCCTCTGTCACAATGGTTGAGTGATGGTCAATCCCCACCATGGGAGTGGGGATGGCAAAGGAAAATGGGAATTTGGGTTTTTGGGGGGAAAGACTCAGAAATAATCAGCTTTGGCCCTTCTGGGAAGAGAGCTTCCAACTTGGCTCAAAAATGTGAAAATGGTGAGGAAATCACATGAAATGGGAAGGGAAAGGGAAAGGGAAAGGAAATAATCTCTGTCCTTTAACATCACCAGTCCTAGCCCAGAAAAACAGAATTTATT